TTATTTGCATTAATTTCATTTCCTTGTCTAAAGATAATCCTCATTGTCATGAAGTTCTCAATCTTCTTCATATTTATCATCATTTCCTTCATCTCCACGTGTAATCATTGTTCATCAATTCCTTCTACAATCATGTCTTCATCCATTCAACTATTGTGGTGTTAATTAAGTCTTCTAGTTATTCAATTGTTGTAAATAGCAAATATTTTACATTTCCTCACCTTGACTGGACAATTCATGTTCTATATTATCAACTTTAATGTCAGCTCATGGTTTTGTTAGGATTGCCCCAACCAACCATGCAGTGGCGGATCTTGACCATTGATCTTGAGGGCCAAATAATATATTATTAATAAATATAAAAGGAAGAAAGAAGATAAAAGGGTAAAAGAATAAAATTGTAAATATATACTTAAATATATTAAATGATCATTAAGTTAGAGAGAGAAAAAATCATAAATTATATAAGAGTTATAAAACTGAAGAGGGCTGAGAAGATAAAATTGTAAATATAAAAGTAAATATATTAAATGTTAATTAAGTTTGGGGGGGCCAAAATCATAAATTACATGGGAGTTACAAAACTTTGGGGGCCACGACCCCCTCAGCTCCCAAGAAGATCCGCCACTCGCAACCATGAAAATTTGTACATATTTTTGGATAAGGGATATAAAAATTTGTTCTTCTTTTTTTAGAAGGATGAATAGATACTAGAAAATATATCTTACACTTATCTTGATATTTACATTATTATATTATGAATAAACACTCATTTTATTATTCCTTGTTGTGTTAAACTATTCACAATATAAAAAGAATCTTGTTACTTAATCCAAGATATTATAATTCATAAATAAGGTGAAAAAATAGAAGAAAAAAATCATCTTCTCCTCATTTAATAACACATTTTATATGTATCCCATAGTTTGTCAATTAGTTATGCTAGCCAATGATAATGAAAAATATAATGATTTAATGTGACTTATATTTTAAAACAAGTCAAAATTGTTAGTCTAACCTGACCTTATGTTAAGTTAATAGATTAATGGACTAATTTTTCCTTAATTAAAATTATATATATATATATATATATATATATATATATCTTTTTGACATATCTATACAAAATTAATTAATTAAAAAAATTAATAAAAAACATATCCTTAAAATTTAAATTTTATAAACAAAATTAGTTTTTATTTTAGATATAATGATTTAATATATAAAGTATAAAAATTATATGATATTGAATAAGTATTAAAAATTTATTTTTTGTTATCATTGTTTATTTTTAGTAATTTATTAATTTAAAATAATAATTAATCTTAATTATTAGATCTTAAATAAGTAGTTATTGAAGACTTACTTATTTACTCTTAAAATCAGTTAATCCCTTACTAAATTAATTTATAATATATATATATATATATATATATATATATATATATTTAAATAAGATAATATTATTATTTTTTTAAAATAATTATTATTCTATGAAATGAATTGACCCATAAATCTAAAGGCTAGTCTAACTTAAATCCATGTAGGTCTGATTCAATTTAGACTACAAATTTTTTGGTTTTACCTAACTTATTTATCTGATTTTTTAGGTTGACCCATCGAGTTAACTCTATTTTGACACATCTACTCAAAGTAAAAATATAGAGGTTTATTCTTTTTTGTATAAATGGTAAAAGGGGTGAATTTCATACAAAGTAATTTGATGTTGTTTTTTGATGTCACTTTGGATGTTGAGCAATTAGTTCCAATATAACATCCTAGATAAATTGGTGAGTATCTATTAGGCATCTTCAATCCAAGAGGATTCGCCTTCATTTGAGATTGTCTAACAAGTTTAAAATTATCAGGAAGTAAAATTCTATGCATTAATAAAGAATGATTAATACTTAGAATATCATTAAGAGTCCAACCCATAGCCTTATTATTTTTCTTAATTACAACATTTTTTTTTCTAGATCAACTTCTACAAATTAGAAATAATAATAGGAAAATAATCATTACCACCCAAATATGCATATTTTGAATTAGAAGACAAGGTTAATTCAGAAACAGAAAAATTAATTAATTTGGGCTCAAGATTTTCTAAAATATAAAAAAATTATAAATATTTTATGAATTTTCTAGAAAATATTCGCTGAGTGCAACTTGTGTTTGCTCAACACATCCTACAGTGTTTGAATTTTCAAAATTTTGATTTATGAACTGATTTTCGCTGAGTGAAATCAACTTCCGCTCAATGGATTTCTCAAATTCATCATTCAATACTAGAAAAAAAAAAATTTACTGAGTAGATTTAGCTTCCTCTCAGTGCTCATTGTGTCTATAAAATACTCAGAAAAGTCCTTGTTGAGTAGATACAACTTCTGCTCAATACCTATATTTGAATTTGCTCAACGAAAACGAGTCCATGAATAAAATATTTAAAAAAAAAAAATCAAAACTGTAGGATGTGTTATGCGTACGCAAGTTGTGCTCCGATAATATTTTCCAAAAAATTCAAAAAAAATTCCAGAAAATGTTTTTTATTTTTTAGAAAATCTTGAGCCTAAATTAATTTATTCTTTTGCTTTTGAACTAAAACCATTGCCTTTTAAGTCAAAATATGCATTTTTGGGTGATAATGATTTATTTCCTATTATTATTTCTAATTTTTTGAATGTTGATCAAAATAATAAATTAATTGTTGGAATTAAGAAAAATAAAAAGGTTATGGGTTGTACTCTTGATATTTCAGGTATTAGTTATTCTTTATATATACATAAACTTTTACTTGATGATAATTGTAAAATTTGTTAGACAACTTGAAAGGAGGATGAATCCTCAAATTTTTTATGTAATAGAAATAAAGTTACAAAATTTTGCAAAAAATGTATAATTTATTCTATTTTTACAGTGAATAGATTAGTTGTACATGTTGTTCCTAAAAATTCAAACTTAACTGTTTTTAAATAAAACAGTTAATTTATTTCACAAAGAGTTCAAAATAATTAAAGAGTGTGTATTGATTATAGAAGGTTAATTTAACTACTAGAAAATATTTTTTTTACCTTTTATTAATCAAATGCATGAAGATTAGGTTGTTAATCTCATTATTGTTTTCTTGATGATTTGTTCACTTGTTTTCTTGATGTATTGTATTGGACATGAAGATCAATTCAAAATTGCATTTACTTTTTCTTTTAGTACTATTGCTTCTTTTGGTTTATGTAATATTCCTAATACTTTTCAAGGTATATGGTAAGTATATTTTCTTACTTATTGAAGTAATGTATTGAAGTGTTTATAGATAATTTTTTTGTTTATGGAAATCTTCTGATAATACTTGATAATTTAAATAAAGTATTGAATAGATGGGTTGAAAATAATATTGTGTTAAATTATGAAAATGTCATTTTATGATTAAGCAATATATTATTTGAGGTCATATTATTTCTAGGGATAATATTAAAGTAAATCTTGCTAAATTAAATGTTATTTCTAACTTACCTATGCATCATCAATTAAGGAGGTGAAATTTTTTCTTGACCAATTACAATTGCTAATACCTTATAGGTAAAGGAGTATAAGAATAAAATCATCAAAACCAGGGTTTGTGTCTAATTAGCTAATAGTGAAACAACAATTTATCAAGGAAATAATCAATTACTTTATCAAATGATTAGTCATAAGATTGAAACATGACCTAAACTCATAGAAGATAAAGTAGAAAATTTTTCATAATAATCAAAAACAAGTTTCTCTAATATACATAATTTCTTTAGAATATTCAATTATTGTAAAGTCATGCAGAAACAATGTATATGTACTACAATTCTAGTTCAACAATTTGGTACTTTTTTCAAAATTCTAACATAAAAGACATATTGGGTATTTTTAAAAGGTCTTACATAGAAAAATTTTCATGAATGAAACACCAATCAAATATATAAGAGAATATGACATTACTTCCAACCTAAAACCTTACGACATTAAATTTGTGAATTTTTCTCACTTATAAGTTTCTAAACTTTTTGAAATTCTACTCATATTTGAATTTTCAACAATCTTTCTATCAAGTGTAATTTTTCATCTAGATTAATAATCTCCACCTCAAGCAGAAATATTTCTTAATCACGAGTACCTCAATAATAACCTTACATGTTTTGACTTTTGTCACAAGGATCCATAATCAATAATTTGTCACCTACTGCAATGGTACTTAACTGAACTGGTTATCAAACAATTAATCAACTATATTACCACTTAGATATTTTTAAGGGGAATTAATGCAAAAGATTCATAAATAATCAACTATATTACCACTTAGGTATTTTCAATAGGACTAATAAAAAAGATTCTCATGATTAAAACAAACATATAATAAAATATAACATCAACTAAAAACTTTAAGATATTATATTGTTAAGAAGGTATTTAATTTTTTTATTTTTATTCAATGTGAGTTATTCATATATAAAACCGATTCTAATTTATTTATTTATTTTATGTGCATGCACATGGGTTGGAAGAGCAATTTTGGACAGACATTTACATATCACTCGTCAACAAATTCCTCACATTGTGAGTGGAATTCAAACTCAATTTAATAAAAGGAGTAAACACACACACACACACACATATATATATATATATATATATATATATATATATATATGGTCATGAAACCATATCCTTCTTATAGAGATAATAGATCGTTGAGAATGGAAGAAAAAGAGAAATACACAACAGAATTACCAACAATAATTAAGTTTTCAGTTCAAGCATTTTTTGTCAACTAATTTAGGACTTTCCAATACCAAATCAGTTGGGTAGGAACATCCCTTGGGGTACATTACAATCCTCCAAAATTATAAATACATCGGTGCACCAAATTTCTCCATCATGTTGTACACACAAAAATTCCTTTCCAACGAAAAAACCTATATAAATTTAAATGACTTGACATATTACAAACAATTACTTTCTTTGCTTTAATTGACTTAAAGTTCAACACTCCACATACCAAATAAACTTTCAAGTAATGCTAGAAATAGCATGAATAACAAAATTATAGAATTGCTGCAAAAAGGTGATCCCCCAGAGAACTGAAACTTGTGAGATTGATCCCTGCAGAAGAGAAGCAAGCACTGGTGTTACTATTATTAACTATAATAGAAATATATTATATTTCAATGAAATCCTTTTTTTTTTCATTTAAAGCACAAATCTAGGTGAAATTTTGAGAATGATTTGTCTTGGTTGAAAAGTATTTTTCTATTTGTTTATGCATGGCAGACAGCTAAACTTGCTTTTTTTAAAAGCTACTCTTACTTTTGAAGGGAGGAAAGTAAGCCGCAGAAAATTGCATTGTCAGGCAAAGTATTTTCATTATTGTCTTTCTCTGGGTTTACAACGTGCACATAAACCTCTTGGCCCAGATACCAAGAGCTGAGCTTCTCTGCACGAAGGTTCCAAATACCGGCATTGTCAAGAGATACCAATATGGCCGTCCAAGCACCAGGAAGGACCTGCAGACAGGTTAAAATTAGTTGTTACAGCATATACAATCCACTTTTTGGTCACCAAAAACTACTCTAGCAGAGCAAGGCAAATCTATGAGTCACTTCACTTGCAATAAGATGTTGTGGCTCAGGAAGGAAGTAATACCTGTGTAGTGCAGCGAGCCACACCATCCCATTTATTATAAGTACTTCTGCTATTTTCTGTCCATACTCCAAAATCCATGCTACAGTGCAAATGAGAAATTCAGTCACTTGTATTCTTAATTTTAGTGTGACAGGGATAGAAAAACCAAAATGAAAAATTGAAATTTTGAAGCTAAAATCTCACCCTACAACAAAGAATGCATAGCCATCCAAATGGTAGCTGTGGACTGTGGTGTCATTGTTTTGAAAAATTATTTCCATAAAACCTCTGTAAGTGCCATTAATGAGAGAAGTATCAACTTTTGGGGGTCTGTTCATTAATCTATTTGGAAAATCAATCTTGTACACCCCTAGAATTTTAAATTGTTGCGCAAGCTTCAGGGGTGTTGAAGGTGGTAAGTATGATATACCATTAAGGGTAGTTCGCCACTTTCCATTTATAAGCTCTGGAGGTCTATTAAGAATAACATATACATCGGTGACAGTAATATCACCATATTTGAAGGAACCCTGTGGGTTTGGACGTGCAGCACCAGCAGACACATTCCACCTAAAAGAACAATCATCAAATTAGATTTTGAAGATTCAAAATTTTATGACATTGAAATACCCTATATCTTTATACCAATCATAAAATCTAAGGTGTGATCAAAGGGCAGCAAGTATACTAAATCACTGTGTTTTTTTTTTTTAAGTATTGTCCCCCTATAAATACTCAAAGACTTACCAAACATCTTTAATTAGGCTAGTCTATAATACAATTCAACTTGTTTATCTATTATCAAAGCATAAGTTTCCAAAAGGAGACAAGTACCAAATAATAACCTTATTGATCTTGCTTGATTTATTGAAAAGGAAGGATCATCCTCACCCAAAAGACTGGGAAGAGGGCCTGAAGCAGGTCCCAGAGAATTAGAGTAGTGCAAAATGGAAACTCCAGTAGCTCTGGCCCATGATGAATTAACAAACCGAGGCGTGGCAACAATATAGTAATCAGTGTTGGCATTTTGATCCATTGTGACCAAGAATGAATATGACTGACCCACATGAATATCCATGTTTGTGTAGTTTTGCTGAACTGTGTATGATCCTTCAGTCTCCACAAGAAGCAAGTTGTGATTCTGTATCCTAAAATTCAAACTTGTTGAGATACCCACATTGTGAACCCGTAGGCGATATGTTTTCCCTGTTTCAGACAGAATGATAAACGCTTGATGATACACGAGTACTGAAAAAAGTTAAGTTCTCTGTTATTTACAAACTACTTAGAGGTATCTGAAAATTATTTTTTGAGCATTTAAACGTGAATGATAGAATTAAAACCATCTATATTTTGGGTGGAAACTTAGAATGTTGCATGATGATGTATGCACCAATATAGAAGAACAACATGATCCACGAAAGAATTGGAAGGACGGCAACAATGATATTGGCTGCAAGACATACTAGTAGAAAAAAAGAACATAAAAAAAATATAGTTAGTGTCAAGACCACTTTATAAGATGATCATGAAATTATGTACAAACACAAACTGATGATGTGAAGGACTTTGCCTCGTCACAGACAACAATTTGCTCAAATGTTAGGATAAGGCGCGCACAAGATTCGCAACACACCTAAGGCAGAGAAGGAATAAGAAAGATTAAGAAAAGGGAAGAGAATTCCAGGTGCAGAAATCACACCAAGAATATAGAAACAAGGAGCCCGACAGTGGGTCCAAGATATATTAAGATGAGAGAGTTTGTTACAATATATTTTCCTACTTGTAGTACAACATACAATTCCAATTTATAAGAATTGGCAGCTAGAAGACCAATCCACAAATGTTATAATATCAAATCAAGCGGACAAGACTGTCTGTGTATTTCAGGAGGACTAAAAAAATGACTGGGTAAGATACCTAAAATTTTAATAACTAGGCAAAAAACTAAAAGTTTTTCCATATTCCATTAACTCATCTTTTAACTTCCCTATAAATTTACAACATTGACCAATACTTGAGAGCTACGCACAATATATATAGTGATTAGCCATGTGTTAAAAAATAAACACAATTAAAACTCTTGAAAACGAGGTAAAAATGAAAATGACATGTCCAGCATAGACGAGGGAGAGACCTTACTGATATTGTGATTAGCCATGTGTTAAAAAATAAACAAAACAAACACTTGAAAACGAAACTTTTAGTAAAAATGAAATGACATGTCCAGCATAGACGAGGGAGAGGCCTTACTGATATTTTATACTCGGTAGATAAATCTGGATATAGAGATGGAAATTTTGGGTCAGAAATTCTGAATTGTCCAGTCCTACCCAAATTAAGGATTCAATAATTTAGAAAGCCCGCCAAATTTTGTGAAAGTATTGCTAGCATTCATCTTTTGATACCCATGCACTTGGGAAAGCCACCTTTAAAAGTTAGTAGTCATGGAACGGGTAAGATACTTCACCGAACATCTCACACTACTTGATGTCAACTTAGATACCACATGATATCCAAGTCCCCTTTAGTTTTCTAATTTATTGGTCAATCCAAAATTTGAATTGTAATTAATATCAATATATATAAGAAACATCACGTATTTTTCAAAATGAAACTAGGAGAATCTTTAATTGATAAGTGTTGAATATAGGGTTAATTTCCCTTATGTATTTACCACACATAGGGCAGTGTATTTATAATAAAGAAAGGTACTCCTCAAAAGAGTAACAGAATACAAATAGGGTAAATAAAAAGATATTATTTGATATTGTGATTAACAATATCTAACAATATCTCAACAATATCAAACAATATCAACTAATATCTAATCATATCTAACACTCCCCCTCAAGCTGGAGCATACAAATCGTATGTGCCTAGCTTGGTACAAAGATAATCCATCATAGGTCCCCGTAAAGACTTAGTGAAAATATCTGCTAATTGATCACATGAGTTAACGAACTCAGTCTTGATGTCTCCAGACATAATCTTTTCCCGAATAAAATGGCAGTCAATCTCAATGTGTTTAGTCCTCTCATGAAAGACAGGATTAGAGCTTATATGGAGAGCAGCCTGATTGTCACACACTAGTGTCATTTGAGTGACATCTCCAAATTGTAGCTCTTTAAGCAATTGCTTGAGTCAAATAAGTTCACAGGTAGCTGAGGCCATAGCTCTATACTCTGCTTCTGCACTGGATCTTGCCACAACACTTTGTTTCTTACTTTTCCATGAGATCAAGTTACCACCAATGGAAACACAATACCTAGATGTAGATCTTCTATCAGAGGCAGATCCTGCCCAATCAGCATCCGAATAGCGAGACAACTCTTGTATGATTATGGGAGTCATACACCAAACCTTTTCCAGGAGACTTTTTGATGTACTTTAATATACTGGATGACCGCATTCCAATGATCTTGACAAGGAGAATTGAGGAATTGACTCACCACACCGATTGCAAAGGAAATGTCAGTGGCGAGTAATCGTAAGATAATTTAATTTTCCAACTAATCTTCTATACTGTTCAGGATCCGACATTGGCTCCCCCGATTTGGCAAGAGTTTGGTATTAGGATCCATGGGTGTGTCAACAGGCTTTGAATTCATCAACCCAGCTTCCTCCAAAATATCCAATGCATACTTTCTTTGAGATATAACAATGCCATCGGTAGATTGTGCTACCTCAATACCCAAGAAATATCTCGAGTTTGTCAAGATCTTTGGTTTGAAAATGGTGGCAAAGGTGTTGTTTCATCTGAGAGATGCCATGATGGTCACTACCTGTAAGAACAATGTCATCGACATACACTATCAAATAGATACATCCAAGCATTCGAGTGACTGGTAAAAGACTCGAGTGGTCTGCCTCACTTCTAGTCATGCCAAATTGTTGAACAACGCTGCTAAATTTTCCAAACCAGGCCCTAGGAGACTGTTTTAGGCCATATAAAGATTTGCGAAGACGACATACCAATCCAGAAGACTCCCCCTGAGCAACAAATCCGGGAGGTTGCTCCATATAAATCTCTTCTTGCAAATCGCCATTCAAGAAAGCATTTTTGACATCCAGTTGATAAAGAGGCCATTGTTGAATAGCAGCCATGGCAATGAATAAACGAACGAAGCCATCTTTGCCACTCGGAGAGAAAGTATCACCATAATCAAACCCAAAAATTTGGGTATAGCCTTTGGCTACAAGGCGAGCTTTGAGGCGATCAATAGTACCATCAGGACCAACCTTGATAGCGAAGACCCACCTGCAACCAACAACAGATTTTCCAGATGGTAATGGGACAAGCGTCGAGGTTCCACTAGTCCGAAGAGCACCGAGTTCATCTAGCATGGCCCGACGCCAACCAGGGTGGGCTAAGGCTTCAGAGACAGATTTAGGAATAGACACAGTAAGAAATAGTCGAGAGACAGGTATAAAATGGTGAAGAAATTCGATGATAACTTAAAGCAGGTATAATGTGGAGAAGGATTACGAGTAGAACGCGTACCTTTACGAAGGGCAATAGGAAGGTCAGACTCGTGGACTGAACCGGAGGAGGCAGAGTATTTGGCACTGGGAGTGAGTCATGTGGCGTCTGTTGTGGGCGAGGTCTGCGACTATAAACCTGAAGGGGTGGTGGAGGAGGAGGGGCTAATGGTGGATGGTCCTCAACATAGGGATCAATGAGAACAGGAATGGGAACTGTAGCAGATGGAGACTCAGCAGGTAGGGAAGGGTCCTTAAAGTAAAAGGAACACTCATTGAAGGTGACATCGGCAGACACAAAATAGCGATTAAGAGAAGGAGAAAATCACTTGTATCCTTTTTGGGATCGAGTAAATCCTAAGAAAACACATTTGTGTGATCGAGGAGATAACTTATCATGACCAGGATCAAAATTGTGGACAAAACAGGTAGACCCAAAAACCTTCAGAGGTAAAGGATGGAGAGTGTCATGAGGAAATAAAATAGAATGGGGAATTTTGTTATCTAAAACCGAAGAGGGCATACGATTAATAAGATAACAGGTAGTAAGAACAGCATCACCCCAAAAATGTTGAGGAACCTCACCATGAATTAAAAGAGTACGGGTTGTTTCAATAAGGTGTCTATTCTTGCGCTCAGCCACCCCATTTTGTTGAGGGGTATAAGCACAGGAAGTTTGATGAAGAATGCCATGAGAAGCCATAAATTGTTTAAACGAGTTTGAAAGATATTCACGGCCATTATCACTTCGAAAAGTTTGAATAGAGACACCAAATTGATTTTTAATTTCATGATAAAAGTTTTGGAATATAGAAAACAACTCAGAACTATTTTTCATTAAAAATAACCAAGTACAACGAGAGAAATCATCAATAAAAGTAACAAAATATTAAAAACCTAAATTAGACTTAACACGACTGGGTCCCCAAATGTCAGAGTGAACTAAGGCAAAGGGGGATGAAGCACGCTGGGAAACACTACGAGAAAAGGAAGTACGACTATGTTTGCCTAACTGACAGGACTCACACACCAAATTGGACAACTGGGATAAGCTGGGAACAAGTTGCTGTAATTTGCGCAGACTGGGGTGACCAAGCTGAGCATGAAGGAGAGAAGGAGACTCTATAACTGTGCCAACATGTGGAGAAGGTTGAAGATAATAAAGTCCATGTGACTCACATCCGGTGCCAATCACTCTTTGCGAGCTCCGGTCCTGTAGGGAAACAGAAGTTTTGGTAAAAGAGATAACACAATCAAGAGATCGAGTTAGACGGCTAATGGATAATAAGTTAAAGGGGGACCCGGGTACATACAAAACATTATCAATGGACAACGAGGGAAAAAGAGTAACCGTTCCAACACCATGAGCTAAAGTTGTAGACCCATTAGCCATTGTAACAGAGGGTAAATTATGAGAAGAAGTGAAAGAGGAAAATAAGGATTTGTTACCAGTGATGTGATCGGTGGCGCCTGAGTCAAGAACCCAAGGGCCAATAGAAGAAGAGTGAGTCAGACCAGCAAAAGATGTACCTGTGTGGGCAACAGAAGTAGTGGAACTGGAGGGCTTTCGATCCTCATACCATTGAAGAAAATCATTGAAGATAGCAGATTTGTCTGAAGGTACAGACGAAGGAGGATCCACAGCAGAGGATTGTGCGGAAGAATCAGTCTGAGCAACTGCAGCAGATCGGCGAGGATAACCATGTAAAGCATAACATTTGTCAATTTTGTGGCCTAGTTTGCCACAATGGTCACACTTGACACGCCCTTTGCCTGGCTTGTGAGAGCGATTACGATCATCACGGTGAGAGGCCAAGGCAGATGAATCATTAGAAACTACAGGGGGAATATTGAGAGGTTTACATGGCACCCGCAAAAGGGAGGAACTGGTAGCGGTAAAACTGGGTGTAACAGGGGAACCCAAAATCTGGTCACGAACAGGGGCATATTTATCAGCAAGTCCGTGTAACATCAAAACCATGAAAAACTTTGATCGTTGCTCTAATTCTTGGGCAGGAGTCGAGGCAGGGGGTAATAACTCATTAAATTCATGGAGAAGAGCATGGATCTTACCCACATAATCCGCCACAGGATCCTTATCTCGAGGAGCAATAACATCAAGAAGATTGTAACAAACACCATAAAGACGTTGAGTGTCATTGGTGTATAATAATTTGGCTTGTTCCCAAACGTCATAACATGTGCCATACGATCGAAAAATTTGTTTTAAAGAAGATTGGATGGTATTCTTGAGAACCATACATATATGAGCATCAACTTTCTTCCAACGGACACGATCATTGGAAGGAACATCATCTACCTTGGTAGTAAGATGATCAACATACCCCTGACTCTCAAGCCAAAGTCTAATATCAGATGCCCAAGTTGCATAATTCGTACCATCTAATTTATCAATGGGTAAATTCACATTGACATAATTAGTAAAAACAGATTGCTCAGACCCACCGGAGCTCGACAGAGGTAACTTCAGAATTGGAAGTGGCGCGAAGATGCCATGGAGGAAGAGAGAGAAAACCCTAAAACACCAAAGAGGTCCGATTGGAGCAGCGAGGACAGATCCGGAGAGAGGAGAAGGAGGCGACGCCGGCGCAAAGATCGGCGGCTCGAACGGCGGCGAGACACGCCGCCACGCGCGGCGGAACGGGAGAAGGTGGCGCGGCTTCGGGAGGCGCGTGAGGGAGCGTGGCTGCTCCGATGACCGCGAAACTTCCACGGTGGAGGTCGCACGGAGGAGGCGAGCAAAACCCTGTGCTCGGCGGTCCGAACTGCTACTCTGGCGACGGCGGCGGCGGCGGACGGCGGTGGCGACGGCGGCGGCGATGGAGGCGGCGACAGCTGCAGGTTCAGTGGCAGAGCCGAAAAAAAAATCCCAAGAGACCTTAAGCTCTTGATACCATGTTGAATATAGGGTTAATTTCGCTTATGTATTTACCACACATAGGGCAGTGTATTTATAATAAAGAAAGGTACTCCTCAAAAGAGTAACAGAATACAAATAGGGTAAATAAAAAGATATTATTTGATATTGTGATTAACAATATCTAACAATATCTCAACAATATCAAACAATATCAACTAATATCTAATCATATCTAACAATAAGGAATTTAAAGGAATGGCCACTTGGGAGGCAAATATTGTAGGCTATAAATACTTGTATTGGAGAAATGTTATTGCATGAGATTGAGAGGCTGATGGAGCTCTAGGGATAGTGGTTTGGCCGTCTGATGTGTGTTAAAACTTTTACTCATAACTTTATCATCTTGTATGAGATAAATTTGGCTATTCCGAATCCAAATTGTTTTGCCACTATCCGCTACATACAGTGCTTTATTATATTATAATTTCAGACATATAAAAATTGCAGTGGCCTTCTCTGGAAAACAAAAGTTCTAAGGAGAAGGAAGATTGTTGCCAACTTCCCATGTATGTCACTGTCACGTACCTCTCCCATGCTTATAAACCAAGTAAAAAAAAAAAAGAAAAGAAAAAGAAAAAACATGTATGCCTTACCTGGTTCCACATTTATTATTTGGTAAGAAATGCCACTCGGGACAAGACTGTCATCATAGCGATAAGGACCTAGTCCATTAATAAGCACTCCATCAGGAACTCCAAGGTCAACCCCATTTTCAATGTCTTTTCTCAGATCCTGTTTCACAATAGGAAATGGTCAAACTCCGTAAATATAAAGATAAAAATTACTCAAGTCACAGAAAGCAAAAGGACCTTATGACTCCTGGTGTACCAGTCACTTAAAAATATGGTAATATCTCCATCTGGCAATCCAAAGGGAACAGGAATAACTGGTCGGTTGTTTATGATGATTCCTCCATATCCTCCTGCAGCTTTCTGGAAGTTTAGGGAAGGGAAGTAGAAAAAGCTCCCAATCTGATCTTTAACTTGAAACTCATACGTCCAATTCCACCCTGCTGGGATTGGACAATTAGTTCCTGAAACTCCATCCTGCCAAGAGTTTTTCCTATGTTGTATACCATTCCTGCATTATTTAACTACGCAACATAATCATTACAATTATTATTAATAGTTAGATCATCATTCTTAACAAAACTCAATTATGTTACCATGTTAGTAGTAATGGCTCATCAAGATTGTTCTTGACATTGACAACTACATTCCAGTTTGTGGTGACATTCAGAGTTGGTCCTGGAAATTGTCCATTGATCCCAATAACCTGAAATAACAATTGTTACAGGGGTCAGTGAGAAGCATCATTTTTCATGGGTGAGTATGTAGCAAACATGTAAATATAAAAAGATAGAGTGTATATTAAAAATACAGAAACAAACCATATGTTTGACATGTTCAAGTCTGAGGAAAACGAATAAATTAAACTGTGTACTTAGACAATACAGAAGATTTATGAACAAATTCAATACGGGACATCTCAACTATAGTGTAGAATGTTCAAACGTGTCTGAAGGTGAACAAGTTTCTCCAGAGACTTTGGAGAGTTTCCTTACTTTTATTTGGGATCTGGGTGCAAAAATGTGGGAAGAAAGTATGGATCAGTCAAAAGGATACTTTGTTAGTTTGTAACATATCTAAAGCATTAAAAGATTCTAGGATAGATTCCCAGTAGTTTAATGATTTTCGGAGGTAATTGATAGATTCTAGGATACGTTGTTGTGCTAATTCACATCACGTCCATATAAGTTCTTTCCCATGATGCTGAAGTATTTATGTCGCTTTTTTAAGAAGAGAAAGAGGAGTCTTCATTTTGTTTTTCACTCAGAATTGAACTGAATGGTGGTATGATTATAACTAGTTTAGTGACATTATGAAGCCGTTTGAAACCATGGAAACTTGGCAATTGGAAGAAGATTCTAGAAATAAACTACAATCGTGGAGGGGTTATCATGTAAACAAGGTGAAAGTTTGAACATGTTAAAGGTTTTATAGATCATTATGTCATTAAAAAAAATAAATTAAAGACATATGGTATGTGTAATAGGTACTTTAATTTTTAACCCACTAGAATTGGCCGAGTGGTGGAATTTGGATAGTTAGCATGAAGTCTTGGTTCAAATCTCATTTGTACTGCACAAGATAAAAATAAGCCAGAACCTCATTGAAGCTGAATTAGAGGCAAAGACCAAAAACCAAAGAGATACTTTCATGGGCTTAGCAAGGAACCAATACTTGGGCTCAAAAAATGTCATTCATTTTGTATGATCATCTCTTAATTCGTTCTTTCCCAATTTGTAACTTCACTTACACTACAATAGACATTAGAAGGACAAATTAGATAAGTTGGAAATTTACATGTTATTCTTGTAAGGCTAAGAACCTCCTATGTTATCGTGCTTCAGATCTATATTCCAACAACTTGTGTCGTTGAGTATCCGGAATATCCACGTAGCTTTGTCCTTCAACCCAAGGTGTTGTTGATGTGTATGCAGAAAACACTTTGATGCTCAAGTCAGTAAAGAGCGTGACCACGAGTTAAGTAAATAATGAATAGTGACCATATCTAGGAATTGTCGCCTATTTATACTACTTCTGATGGACTCCTTCCCTATGGGCCATGTGATTATTCTCCTGGCAAGCTCCAGTTTCTTCAACACCTTAGCGATGGGATAATCTGTTCGTACTATGATATGGTGGCTCCAGAAGTACTGTCAAAGCCTTCTTCCAGTTGTTACGATTGTCAAGGCAACTTATCAATCATTTGGTAGTGGGTTTTCGGGTCTTAAAGGATTCGGCTGATGTAGTAGGTTGGCTTCTGCTCGCCTCCTACCTCTTGTACCAATGCAACGCTTACAACGTTGTCAGACACAGTGAAGTACAATAGCAACGACAAGCTGGGAACCGGCTTGTGCAGGATTGGTAGTGAGGATAGAAATTATTTGATGTTCATGAATATAGAATCACATTGTTCATTCCAGTCAAATATTCGTAACTTTTTCATTAGTCAGATGATAGGCTTGGTTTTTCCTGCCAACTTGGGTATGAAGCAGGAAAAGGAAGTTAGCTTTCCAACTAGACATTGTATTTCTTTGAAATTCTTTAGACTTCGTGTTGAAAGTCCCACATCGCCTACCTCATATCATTTGGTATGGTTTAAATACATGTTAGGTTAGTCCACATATTGCCAATTGGTTTTATGTTGGAACCTTAACATGGTATCAGAGCCAAAGCCTAACATCTTTCCGGTTATTATCATGGGCCAAAAGTTGCCCTTTAGTTGGGTCAAAAGTACCATTTGCCTGGTCCGGCAGGCTTCGTTGGAGGGGGTGTGTTGAAAGTCCCACATCGCCTACCTCATATCATTTGGTATGGTTTAAATACATGTTAGGTTAGTCCACATATTGCCAATTGGTTTTATGTTGGAACCTTAACACTTCGCATCTCAATTATTGTCTTGCACTTATCCGAGTTAGCTTCGATTCCTCGATGAGTTAGCATGAAGCCCAGAAACTTCCCTCCTTCCACACCGAAAACACATTTTTCTAGATTAAGGCGAATGTTATACTTTCGCAAAGCCAAAAAGACCTAATCAAGGTCTGCTAGGTGTTGCTGACAAGTATCCGACTTGACCACCTTATCATCGACGTATACTTCAACAATTTTTCCAATGAGTTCCTTAAATATCTTGTCCATCAGCCTTTAATAGGTTGCACCAACATTCTTCAGGCTGTATGGCATCACCTCATAGCAACTATTAGTAGAAGATGTCATGAATGCAATTTTTTTTACTTCTCGTTGGTGCATTTAGATTTGGTTATATCCGGAATACACTTTAGGATAGGATTTAGTGTCCTATCGCACTATAAACTAGTCGGTCAATGTTTGGTAGAGGGTATGCATCTTTGGGGCAAGCTTTGTTAAGTCTATGTAATCGTTACACATACGTCATTGGTGACTTGGTTTCTTGACTAGCACTACATTGACCAACCATGTGGTGTAGTGGGCTTCTCTTATGAAATCGACTTTAAGGAGTTTCCCTACTCTGTTTTCAGCTGCCTTTCGTCGTTCTTCTCCCAACTTCCTCTTCTATTGGGTTATTGGTCGGGCCTCTTGGCATACAAACAACTTGTGGCTTATAACTTTTGGGTCTATTCCAAGCATATTAGTGGCGGTCCATGCGGCGAACAAGTTTACATTTTTCTTAAGGAAGATGGTAATGAGGTTGTACTTGTCATTGGTGAGGGTGGATCCTACCTTTGTATTTTAACCCTGTCAGGCCAATTGGAAGGGTAGAGTTTCTTCCCTAGTCTTGACCCGAGTCATCGTTTACTCGAGGGTCCAGATCAGTCATGATGGTCGGATTATTTCTATCTTTCCTTGTTGATGTTGAGGTATTGGTTGATATCTTGAGACTTGCAGCATAGCACTCTCGAGCAACCTTCTGATCTATGTGCAAGGTTATTACACCTCTGGATGATGATGGAAACTTCATTGCAAGGTTTGGGATGGACACTATTGCTCCTAAGGCATTAAGAGAGGGTCGTTTGAGAAGAATGTTGTAGGACGTGTTGGAGACTATGATAAGATATTGAATCTTAATTGTCCTGTAATTAGTATTGTCCTCTCCCAATTTGGTGAAAAGGTCAATGTATCCCTTAGTGTCCACTCTTTCTCCCGAGAACCCTATTATTTGATCATCATAGGGTTGTATGTCTTCTTGTGACAATTCGAGACGTTTGAATGTCGTTTAGTACAGAATGTCTACTAAACTCCCTTGGTCGACAAGGGCTTTTATGATGACAAAGTTTGCAACCTCGACCATAATGACCATATGGTTATCCTGTTGTGGATCTATGGCTTGGAAGTCTTCATCTATGAAGGTTATTGGGGGCATTTTCCTTATTGGTCTAACAATGATGACATTGACTAACTGCACATTCTGAGATGCCTCTTTCTCGCGGAGTTTGTTATCGTGTTGATCACTCCCCATAGAGGTGGATCTTTAGGACAGTAGTTATCCACATCTCTCGATCGAGGTTCTTGTTGGCCCTTAGTGTGCTAGGATAACGCTCCCCTCTTGGTGAATAACTTTTCTCTCCACCATCAAGTTTCTTGATGAACTTGCACAAATGTCCAGTTTGTATGAGTTTCTCTATCTTCTCCTTTAACGCGACGCATTCATTTGTAGTGTGCTCGTGCTCGTAGTTATGATGGTATTGGTAGTGCTTGCTATGGTCAACATTGGACGAGGTTGGGACTTTTCTTAGGATGGGTATGAGATTGGTGTTGAGTGCTTCTTCTAATACTCTTACTCGGTTGTTGTTTATGGGTGTGTATTGTGGGAATCTTGGTCCACGGGCTTTTCTTAGCCTCGTCTATTAAGGGCGCTTTCCTTTGTCCTTTTCTACATTTTTCTCCAATATCGTTTCGGCCCACATTTCCTTGTGGAATTCTTTTAGCACTTCCAATTGCATAAATTTGGCAGCTCGGTTTCCGAGCTCGTTCAAGTTGGCGGTTGGTTTCTTGCAGAGGCCATCCGAGAATGGTCCAGGTTTCAGTGTTGTTACTATGTGGTGGAGGGCAACCTCAGGGCTCAAGTTTCTGATGTCCAATGCCATTTTGTCGAATCTATCTATAAAGGCTCGGAGTGACTCTCCTTTCTCCTGTCGGATATTAACCAATGTTATCGAAGTAAGGTGGTGGGGTCGGTTAGTCGCAAACTGCATACCCAACTTCACTACTAGCATTTCAAAAGAGTCAATGGTGAGAGCCAACTTAAAGTCGACCCTTTGAAAGAGGTGGGAAACACCCGGCAGAATACTGCATCCTCCATGGCATAGAATCCGACCTGCGTCACATATATGTCGATGCTCGTCAGGATCGGCTGATCCGTCATATCTTCCAAGGGAGAGGTTTTTCCAGGTTGTCGGCAAAGGCGTTTCCATGATGCTATCAACGAATAGGTATTTTCAGAGCCCTCTAACCAGCGAGGAGAGATGCATAGATGTGTTGGTCGTTAGCCGAGGATTGTTGTTGACTTTGAACGCCCTGATTTGGGTGCCCCGAGAATGCTCTGCGCCGCCTTCAGGCCGGATTATTTTAGGTGCTTGGCGAGAAGTTCCTCGTTACTCATTCAGCTTTTTCCCGTTTAAGGGCGTCTAATTCCTCGACACTTCTCTTTTTGAAGTTTTCCAAGTCCCACATTGTACAGGTATAAGGAACTGTTTTATTTTATAAAAAAAAAAAAAAATTTAGACGCAAGAGGCTGTTCATGAAAGGGAGAGATAGTTGGCATCGGCTCTGATGGAGAAGGGAACGGTGTTTGGACTTTCCTGTAACACATCCGGTTAAGTCTACCCACCTCTTGGTGGAACTCTAACCCAATTTTTTTGTCAAGTTCTTTTTGGTTTCATTTATCATTTGAACCGGACGGTTCCCCACCCTCACCCTCACCTTTACCCTCATTCTCCTCTTCTCCTAAAATACATAAAACAATTTACAGGGAGGCACTTAAATGCCAAATATTTAACATACCAAAATTTCAGGTTCATAATGTACTCTCTTCTCATTCTTTTCATAGTTACTTATCCTATTAAGTAAATACTAACAGAAGGCATATTAACCCACATCTAATTTACCACAAAAATTCAGGTTTAGGCCAATAGCATTTCTTGCTAAACAGAATCCCCACAACAGATTAGGAAACATTTCACCGTTACAATGTCAATCCAGTCACACAAACAGAACTCCAGACCACAGCACAAGCTTTGTCCTAACTACAACCAAAATCATATCAAGTTTGGCGACTAGTAAACACAGAATGTTTCAATTTTTTCAGCCACCCTTGCCCTGATCTGCATCCAATGGTGTGACTATGAAAGAGAAAAAGCAAAAGCCACACTACACAATTGCCTAAGGAAAGGAAAAACCAACCTTTTGTTTAATTCCAAGGGGGGAGGCTGAGGTATAGGATACGGTCCAATCGTAAAAAACATAAGGGTCGCCTGCAAAAGTGACATCTAAGAAGCATAGAAGTGTTGTGAAGAACCAAGAAGATAATGATGGCATCGTGTTTCTCAGCTAATCTGTCGCTCTTTTCTCAAGTTCTGTGCAGAGGTAGAGAGAGTGTGAAGAAATTAAGTTACCAATTCTGTGCATCACATGGTAAAGAAAGGACTATTTCTGACTTCTGCGTCCTCTCGTGGGTCCCTCTATGTTTTACTTTTCTAGACTTAACGGCAACCTTTGGTCAATTTATTTTGAATACTTATCACTAGTCGTTTTTCTTTTATATCTTCATAGGCAAGGAAATTCTCGTGTACATGTATATCTGTTTTTAAATTTTAATAAATTTAAAATTTAATACACACACACACACACACACACACACACATATATATATATATATATATATATATATATATATATATATATATATATATATATATATATATATATATATATATATTAAAATATAAATATATCTCTAAAATTATAATTTGTGGCAAATGAAAAAAAAAAAATGAAAAGCTGCGCATCTCAAGTTTTGGTTCCATAAATACTATATACCATTGTACAATTTCGATACCTGTTTATGAAGAGTCTTTCTGCGGATTAGATTTAGATTAATGCATTTAATAAATAAATTTTCACATGTATACCGTTCTGTATCAAAATCATCATAAAATTTGACAAGTCTTTGTATTCGGATTAAAAAAATGTTTTATAACATTTCAAACATATCAATGGAAAAATGCACAATTCATTACAAAAATACAACCTGAACTTGAAGTAACTGCTACACTTTGTTTTTGTTTGTTATTTTGATGTCTAATTCAATCAACAGAAATCTATAACTAAATGCAAAAGAAAAAGCCCTCGGTAATCCTCTTCAAACCCCTTTAATTCTTAAATAAAATTTATTAAAAAAATAACATGAAATGTAAGATGTTAGTTTTTATGAACTGGAAGTATGTTCTGTATTGGTGTATTAAAAACTTGTTATATGCTTGATGGGAAATATTTTATTAAAAGAGAATTGTGCTCTTTTCCTAAAAAAGTTTTAGATGAGCCAAATATCCTCTCAAATTAGCTTACCGGATAGACTAATCTGAAAAAATTTAGTCTAAATTAAAATAGATTTATTTTGGTCACATTAGTTTAGATTACGAACTATATATATTTAGATCAAGCTAATCATTGGTCTAATACAAGTCAGACTCAACTAAAAATTCTGACTGTAAAATATAAGTCAAGTTTAATCAACATTTTTATTTACTTGACTTATAATGTTAGGTAGAGTTGTTAAAACAGGCAGCACAATCTAGCTTACTTATTTGATATTTCAATTTTACTTATATTTTAAAATAAATAAAAAAATTTAATCTAACTTGATTCTATGTTAAATCAACGGGTTAACAAACTAATTTTAGTCTAATTGATTTAAAAAATATATATTAATATATCTATACTAAATCAATTAATTCAAAAAATAAAATATATAAATATATTTTTAAAATTTAAATTATATTAATAAATTTAGTTTTATTTAAGATATAATAATTTAATATATAAATTATAGGATAATGCATCCATTTAATATCAAAATAAGAATTAAAAACTTTCTCTTTATTATCATTATTTATTTTTTAGTAATTTATTAATTTAAAATAATAATTAATTTTAATCATTAAATCTTGAAATAAGTGGTTGTTAGAGACTTATTTTTGGACGTTTACTTATTTTAAAATTCCTTATCAAATTAATTTATAATATATATATATATATATATATATATATATATATTTAATAAAATAATACTATTTTTATTTTTATTTAAAAAATAATTATTATTCAATAAAATAGACTGATCCATAAGTCTATGGACTAACCTAACCTAAACTCAAACTCATGTTGGTTATGATTTAAATAGACTAGACCGAAATAGATTTAATTGAATTTAGACAACAAATAATTTAGTTTAACCTAACCTATTTTTTGAACTTTTGAATATTTGATTTTTAAATCCTACTAAAATTATTCCATGAATTGCAAGAAACAGGTATTCTCACCTATTTTTAATTTGTATCAATTTTTTTACCATACACAATATTCACACAACAAGACTTTTTATTGAAAACACATTTCGAGGATTCAGAATACAATTATGGAGATTGAGAATACAACTTAAAAAAAATTGTAATATTCCTGATTCACTAAGCACCTATTCCAGATTGCATAATTTTCACAAAATTGGTTCGGACTCAGGAATTTGGATCTCAATATCTAATTTCAATATAGGAAATATAATAAGTAAATAATATTAACTATTACTCCCCTATAATATTAACTATTAAATGAAACCAAATCTGTGATGATGCAAAACTTTTACAAAAAATAGAACCAGTTGTTAAGATTTGAAACAAAAAATAATCGATGTTTATTAATACAAGGAAAGTGGTGTATAAAAATTAGAGGGTTTATGTATCATTTTAAGATTTAAATGGGTTTATGTATCATTTTAAGATTTAAATAGACTAGAAAGATGAGCGCAGTTTCTCCTTTTAATTAAATTGTTCATAACAATTTTAAAGAAAATGATTAAATACCTTTCAAATGAAATAGAGTAATTCAAATAACATGAATCTGATTATATTGCTTATATCCCGATATCATAACCGAATAGATGATAACATCATGTTGCACTAATTTAAATAAATTGGTTGTTGCATGAAACATTGACAAGCATGAGAGTGAAACAGAATACTTTGACTGTTAACATTCAAGTTAATGTCCTGCTCATGCATATAGAGAGGATTGTAGTTGATAACCAATGATCCCATAAACCCACAGATAGTACCCCTTTTTTATATATAATGATGATATTGAGGTTCCAATATAAGACTTCATACACACTACTCAGGTTGACCCACATCTCCCATATGAAGACCCCAGACAGACATAATACCTAATTAACACGTATAGAGTGCCTATCTTAATAACCAATCAAGAACAACAAAAACTAGAGAGAAAAAAAAAAGGTAACTAATATTGAGAACATAATTACAGAAAGTCTCGATCCAAGAGAAAAAGACTACACTCTGATAGATATTATAAACGATATTTTTCGTCCATGACGAAAGTGAAATAGAATCAAGAATCAACATGCCTCCAGAGCTTTTCATTCAAATTTAGGAACATCACCGCCCATGATCCTCCAAGGACCCCAATAAAACTTTGGTCTCATGAGAGGCACTGCTTTCCCAGGGTGCTCTTCCCAGTACTTTTCCTGTGATGTTGCAATATAAGTTTGTTTCCGAAAGTGTTTTTCAACCAAAATCAGCAATCACTATTATTGCAAAAGTTATTCAAGGAGGCATCATCGTGTTAATTAACAGCTGTGTTGCAATTGCAAGCCCCTTGAAACGAAGGGGAAGGTGGGTGATTGCCGAGGGATTGGATTTTCAAGAATATTTCTTTTAATGGTTAGAAGTTGTGGCAATTTATATTTCAAACCTCACCCTCTTGGCACAAGAGCATAAAAATAAGTTGGGGAGAATACAACTCATACAATGCAAGTGTCTCAAAACATCTGATCCCACCACACGAATGGATAATTAATAAAATAAATGTTAGCTATCAAGTTATTGTGCTAATAAAAGCAATCGATGTTAAGGGCAATCCAGAACAATATTTCAGATGGTATTACAAAGTAATGAATGTACGAAAAGTGAACACAGTTTATCCAAACTAACAAAAGCAACAAGTAGATTCTCAGATAATATATGTAATTATTTTTAATTATTTAAGACAAGTAATCAAATACCGATTAACTATCAGTGGAATCAAGCAAAGTATTCCCTAAAGCTTAAACTAAATAATAAATGTGATTCTTGCTTTTTAGATTGTCTATGTTGGTAGATATTCACACATAATACATCAAAGAACAATGACATGGTTTAGAGCGATTTTATAATTAACAAAATCTAGCCAAGTTTAATTATGACTTGACAATTCCAAATATTGAAAATTCGGAAATAAAATTTACTAAATTACAAAAATTCAGTGGTTGTAAAATGTGTAATTTAAAATATAAGATCATTCAACTCTGAAGTGGAAGCCACCTCACATTAGCTACATCACTACAACTAGTAATTTGACAGAAAGGTAAAATGTATTTAAATTTAAAACTCAGATGGTAAATTCATGAAATTGAAAGTTGAGTGACAAAATTTGCAGAAGAATAAAAAGGGTTAGTGGTAAACAATGCAATGAAGCCTACAATTATTATAGGCCAGCTCGGAGGCAAGAAATATGAAAAATGTGACATCTATGATAGTGCCCCTGACACATAACATCGGTCTAGACCCAAGCGAGTTGTTACACCCCCAAGTGGATGGGATGACTATATTCACTAGCATAATAGATTGTATGAAACTTGCTGTTGAGCTGTCATTTAGTGGGTTTGTTAGCCCTCTGCATCTTTCTTTCAGTTATTCCTTTTGTAAGAATGCACCGTGCCACAACACTATAAAACCTATCAATATGCAAGGAATAAAGTATGAGAAGTTATTTCAATATCATATTCTTCCTTTTTCTGTTTTCTAGAGGTAGAACCTAACCTCGAATAAAGGTTATTTCCTTTTTCCATAACAACTCTCCCACATCATTTTGGTGCTTTCATGGCTAACACATGCTCAAACTCGAGCATAGGCCATTGTTCGCTTGGAAGAAGCTATTATGCATTTATCCAACTCTCACACAACGGCTCTCTCTCCTGGAACCCAATCACCACAGTTCTGATTCCAATCCCACCTCTCCTCCTCTGAGAGTTTTTTCGCCCTCACATGAAGCTTGAGGTCCCATGCGTGTTTTGGTTGGCAATGGCCAAGAGATTCAATGTAACCAAATCTATAAGGTACATACACTTGTTATTCAAAGTCATAAATTTGTTGTAGACGATTTGGTGATGCCTCTTGCAGGTGCAGATCTCATTTTATGGGTACATTGGCTAAAAACACTTGGCCCAATTGTGAACGATTATTCCTCCTTAACTATGCAATTTCATTTGGGACCCTAGCTCATTACCCTTCATGGTCTTCACTAATCTGGCCCAACTGAGCTTTCTCTCCATCAAGTTAAATGACTCATATCTACTTTTCGTGCTACTGCATATTACCATATACAACTCCTTCTCGACACCACATTTGAGATCCCTAATTCGCTCCAATCATAATTGGACCATTACACGTCACACCATACATCACACCATACACTTTCAACTCAATAGTATTCTTGTGAATGGTAGGCCTTACAGATATTCATATTCTTAGAAGCAAGAAATTGAACGATAGGTTTCTGAGATGTTACGTAAGATATCATCCAACCTAGTCGCATTCCATTTTTGTCCCCTATTCTCCTCGTTTGTAAGAAGGAGGACACTTAGCAATTTTGCATTCATTTCTGTGCCCTAACGCCATCACCATCAAAGACAGATTTCCTATCCCCACCATGGATAACTCCTAGATGACCTTGGTAGTGCAAGTTGGTTCACCAAGCTTAACTTGACTCAAGGTTTCCATCAAATTCGTAGAGAAAATTCCTAAATATTTTTTGCAGTCATCAAGGACACTATGAATACAAGGTTATACCTTTTGGACTCTGTAATGCCCCATCTACATTTCAACTTATAATGCATATCCACCATGTTAAGTTAGTATTTCAGGCTTTACACGAGGGTCAATTTTTTATTTTTTTTGGCACTCCAAATGTGTATTTGCTCAACACTCTATTGAACATCTAGGTCAAATCGTCTCATGTAAAGGAGTTGGTGCTGATCTTATGAAAATCCAGGCCATGGTGGATTGACCTACCCCTAGTTGTAATAAATCCATGTGTGGAATTTTGGATCTCATGAGCTTTTATGGTCGTTTCATCAAGGGCTACGCTAGTAATGCGGCTCCCCATAACCAATTGTTATGTAAGGAGAGTTTTGTTTGGAGTTCTATTGCCCAAGAGGCTTTGACAAACTCAAGTCAGCAATGTCTCAAGCTCCATTTTTGGCCTTGCCAAACTTTTCCTTACCTTTTCTTGTAGAAATCTTTGGTATTGCAATGGGAGTTGTTCTTACGCAACTCAACCATCCCATTGCATTTTTCAGTAAGCAATTTTGTCTGCAACTTCTACAATCCTCCACTTATATTCGTGAGCTCCATGCCAATACCACAGTCATTAAAAAGTGGCATCAATATTTGTTAGCCCATCCTTTTGTGATCCTCACTTATCATCATAGTTTGAAAGAACTTGTGTCTTAGGTCATTCAAGCTATCAGGACTTCTCCGCTTTCATATCCCCATTATCGTGTCTCTAATGGTCTTTTATTATATAAGGATATAATATGGGTAACTAAGGGGAACTCCTTCATTCCTCTTTTGTTAGAGAAATTTCATAAATCTCCTTTAGGCAGTCATATGAAACTCAGCAAGACTCTTTATCACCTCTTAGACAACTTGTTTGGTCAGGCATGCGACAGGACATTGCTAACTATATTAAACAATGCAGTGATTGTCAACACACCATGTATGTTCCTCAAAAATCTGTTGGTTTGCTTTAGCCCATACCTCCTCCTTTTGGGCCTTGGGAGGACTTATCACTTGATTTCATCATTGGACTTCCCCTGTATCACATATCTTCTGGCATTTTAGTAGTGGTGGACCATTTTTCCAAAGGAGCTCATTTTGGTTTCCATCCAACACTTTACTGCAAGTCAAGTGGCACAACTTTTCCTAGACATGGTGTGTAAGCTACACAACTTACCCGATGGCAACAACTTTTCACTCTAAGTGGTACCAAGTTGAGAATGAGTATTGCCTATCACCAGCAGAGTGATGGTCAAACCGAGGTTTGAACAGGACTCTTGAACAGTATTTGCATTCATTTGTTCATCATAATCCACATGCATGGGGAAAATTTCTTAGTTTAGCCAAATGGTGCTACAACACCCATCATCATTCTGCTACTGGTATGAGTCCATGTCAATTTACTTACGGTACACCCCCTCCTGCCATCCCCAATTATTTAGCAGGCTCCTCTAATGTTAAAAAACAAGTCATGACCATTAGACTTGCAAACTCATCCAAGTTAGTGAGTTGACTCACGATAACCATGATGGTACATATGAGAGAAACAAAACTAAACAAATTTAAAATAGAATTAAAATTTAAAATAAATAAATATAAATAATGATAATAATAATAATAATAATAAGAAGAAGAAGAAGAAGAAGAACCTTGTACAGCTGTTCAGTGATGGCAGCACCAATGACTCCAGAGTAGAAAGCCGCAATGTAAATAGTAACCAATGGAGTAAAGGATTTGGGCCTTCTGTAAGGTTCCACCATGTCCCAAAGGAAGGTCTTTTCCCACTTTGTGTACAAATAATCTGCATATTTTCTCCATAGGTAGCTTGCCATTTCAATCACTTCCCCTTCAGTGCCCTCAATCAGTATTCAAGGTCCTGAAACCAAAAGAGAAAGCTTTGAATATTCATTGTTTGTTACGAAATGTGCTAAGATGAATTAACATATTACTTACATGGGAACATCCTATCTAATTAATCTAATAATGTATTTATAAATGGAGGTTAAAAGCCCTGATAAAGAGAATAAATTAGCTGAGGGTAGCCTCATTGATAAAACCAAACAGAGACCAAGAAAAACAAAAAGCAACATCACTAAGAAGAATCAAAGGTTAATATCTATAGACATGATTTAAGATAAAACATTATGGCATTGGTTTGATTAATCTAACTAGCTCTACATAATGGAAAAAGGCTTGGTTGTTGTTGTAAAAGAACAATTAAAATTACTATGCAATTTATTTGAATATTTCTATTGTTTAACTTCTTTTATCTTCATAGAGGAAAATGAATATTTCCAAACAAAAATTAAATCCTGACATGACAATAAATGAGGTAATTCTTCAGTCTAATAAATAAGGCCAGATAACTACACAAAATAGTCCAGGCAATGTTACAACATATTAGGGGCCTGTTTATTTCTCTCATCAATTCTTTTATTTAAAAATGTCTTGTACAATAATTTTAAAAACTGTTTTTGAGAAGAATACTCTAAAGTAAAGTCCTTTTTGTAATTTTTGAGTTTCATGCTGAGTTGGACTTTATTTGTGTTGATTGATTCAAAATAAATACTATTGAGAACCTTTAAATAAAAGGAGTCTTTTATTTAGTGTTCATTACATCCAAGCTGTGACTAGATATGACCACAGGCCACAGGTGAGAGATCTAAAAAATGGAATATATATAACAGGCCATTTGTGTTATTATGCACAGAGTATATAACGCTTGCTGGCTATGCTTCCATTTTCCATAGATCCTAAAAGCTAGAGACAGGTGTATGAATATAAACTGTTAAAAAGAGGCAAATTGAAAAATAATATTTATGCAAGAGGAAAAGTAACATGACAGTGAAGTTTAACAGGTGAAGGGGAAGAACACAAGACAGATTTTGCAGAACAAAAAAATAGATAAAGTGTTTTGCTTTCAAGTTTGTAAGTGTTAAGTTGAACAGACTCCAACATGGATTCTCCACTCACTTGGTCTCAAATGAAAGTGTTAGTTCATTGAGAAGAGAGAGAAGGTGGGGGAATTTGAAGTAGTTTGGTATCCAGACTGAGCCAATGAACCTGACATTATTTATTTAACCAGTTTCTGTGGCTATGTTACTACTATTTATTCGTTTTAACAAATCACATATCACTCACACTTGTGAAAGTGAAAAAGAGGAGAAATTCTTTCTCTCTCTCCATTCATGTGGAGAGGGGGGTTGCAGGCCTTCGGCTGTCTATCTAAATTAACAAGAAAGACACTTATGTGACGATGAGAGCTAATTAACATTTTATCATTTGAACCTAGAGATATACTTATTGTTGAAATTCTCAAGTAAATAAAGTTAAAATTACTCAAGGTGCTACACTATGCTAGCAGGAAAAGCAGTGGGTGGATTCAAACATAGGAAAAGAAACATGACAATTGCTCAATGAATGACTATCCGATGTCCAACAAGTGCTCAATAACTTGGACTATCCGATCTCCAACAACAGGCTGCTATAAACATTGGTGGTAATTTCACAAATTCTAGTTATGTTGAGTCTGGACTTAGTTGTACACTGAACTGGATGGGCTTAATTTTCTACTCTGTTTATGTAGAGAAATTCTAGCTTGGGCTTTTAATGTCAGCACTCATAATTCAGAGTGTACTTTGACAAACCTCCTTTACAGAGAAATAAAAATATATCTACTATTAATTATAAGGGCAGCAAAGCATTACATACGGTATGAGCATAAATTTAAAGATTTTCTTCTTCCTAGTAAGAGAGATATCAATAAGAAATAATGATTTGGATTCAAGTAACTTGACTATTGGCTATGTTTGGAAATTGTTGCCGCATGAAAGAAACTAGGTTGGGTTCCAAAATACACCAAATAAAAAACTACCAGACCATCACCAACTGAAAAACTTAGAGAGATGAACTAAACTCTATGTCAGATCAACTAATGTTTAAATCAGAAAAGTATTATTATCCTTAGAATTAAATTATCATACACAGTTAACTAGTGCTAAGTTTATTTGAGAGAAGTATTATTATCCATAGAATTAATACAATAAAAGGAAGATTATTATGTGGTGAAGCAGTGGAAAGTGGAGGAATATATATATATATATATATATATATATATATATATATATATATATATAGTGAAGGGGGGCAGTGGTAGTGAAGAGTGAAAACACAGAAGAAAATTAAGTGGCAGACCAAATCTCTGTTATTATAATAACTTGAACAACTAATAGCTTGTAGAAAGCAATAAAAAAAAATAATAGCTTGTAGATATGTGTAATGGAGGAATTGAATTGATCCTACACACGAGTTCTCTAGAAAAACACTTTACACTGACTTAAATGACGTTAGTCAAAACATATTCCAGATACATTATTAGGGCAAACACCAACAACTATACCACAGACACCCAACCCGAGTGTTCAGCTTCATATGCTTTTCCAATTTAAGCCTTTTAGATTCTTTATCTAAAGTTACATGATAGATATGCAACCAATGCATGCGTATAATATTTGACCCCGATAAGTTGTCAAGGCTAAGAAAGTCACCATTGAAAAATATAAATAGTATTTACTGATGCTTCTCGAAGTTTAACATTATCAGGGTGTACTGGTTTGCTTATTGCAATACCATTATTAATCCCAGGATCAAGATAAAGGCGCACCATCACTCAACCAAAATAATGCTTCACAAAATTGAACGATAAAGGACCTCATATTCACTTGTTATCAACCTATACATTCTAGCAAAAATTCCTGACTTAGACATTTCTTTCTCAATAATAGTCATTATCCAATTGAAAAATACCAAGATTCAAATATTTGGAAAGCATAAACTATTAATTGAAGGGTCAGTCATATATATCTGACATACCCACTCACACAAGGACTTGACCTAATCAACCTTCATTGTGGAAATTCAACTTTAATTTTAAAAATAGAGCTGCAAGGATTACACTTTAATAAGAATGACTTTCTCACAAAATTTAAACTATAAAGTGTACATGGATGGTTGATTAAGAAAAAAAAAACCCTCATGTTAGCAAAATGAAAGAGAAGAGAAGATAGAACATACTTATGGAGTTTATCCACGTGGCGTTGTTTGATATATGCAGGGGAGAGTGCGCAAATATCTGGAAATGCAGTTGTTAGGGGGTATTCACAGTTCAACAGATTGGGGTTTATAAGTGAGACTGATTCTTCGCCTCGCGAAACGAATCGTGAATCGAGGTTACAACATTGCTCTCCTCACGCACTGGAAGCACGAATCAATTATTTCATAAATTTAGACAGACAGCACCAACAAAAAAAGAAAGAAATAGGAACAAGGGTTTACCATTCAGTGAAGATTGTTTAAAAAAGAGAAAAATGTGTGATTGAAGGAGTCTTGCTAACAATAATTTCTGGGGAGCTCCATCAAAGGTTTCACTGTTAGAGATTTTAGAGAGAAGGATCACAAATTAGAAATGGAATGGTCCGAAGAGATATTCCTGGTTTTAGGTGGGAAATGAAAGAAAGCAAAAATAGGAGGGGAAACAGTGAATAAATAAAAGTTTCGCGGGACGCATGGCAATTTTTTTTCCAAATAATATTTTTTTTTCTAATAAAAATTTAGCGAATAGATATCTACAACTTTATTTATTTAAATAAATCTATTTACACGGTGACAATTTGATTCACCGGAAATTTATATATATATATATATATATATATATATATATATATAAATGAATTAATAATAAAAATATTATATTTAATTTTAATATAATATTAAAGTAAAATAATTTTAATTAATAAAAAATTATTAAATTATTTATAATACAATATTAAAATAATTATTATAAAATTTTGATGAAAACTTTAGATATTTACATTGAATAAAATATTAAATATTGTTGATAAATCATATATACTTTAAACAAAGTATATATTTTAGTAATTAGTTTGAGGTAAATGTAAATTTTATTATCTCATTATTATTATATATATATATATATATATATATAAATATATTTTAACTCGTGAATATTTTTAAGGTGTGGTTGGTATATTTTTAGTTTATATAAAATATTTAATTTTTTTATAATGGATTATGTCATGTATTTGATAAGAGTTTATGGTTTTCTTCAACGTCAAATTTAATATTTATCATGTGAATAATCTTTTAATTTTCAAGAACATTAATAGTTAATTTTAGTTACTTATTTTTTATCTTTATAGTCTAATATTTGAGTAACATTTTAAAATAGTTGATCATAATTGTTTAGATTTTTATGATGGTTACATGTTAAACAATTATATCAAAGTGAATTATAGTTTCAAAAGAAAATGATGTTGTGTTTGGTGGAAGAGCTAGATATAGGTGGTTTTAAAATTATTTGTTTAACAAATATTTAGATTTAGCATATAATTCAATGATGGAATTGAATTTAATTAATCATATTGGATACATTAATATAAGTTAATAACATCATACTAATAAATCATCCCCTATTAGTTTTGATTCACATTAATAGAACTTGTTGAGCAGTGATTAACATATTTTGATACATAAATGTGATCAAACAATATAATATAAGAACTAGAAGAAACCTAAATCATATTTTTTATTATAGGAATTCTCACTTGCAAAGAGTCATGAGAGAGAGGTTTTGAAGCATTTTGGTTTGTAAAATAGTAGAGGAAGTAATAAAACAATAAAATAGTGCATTGAAATAGATAGAAACAATAATGAAAATAGTAGTAATTGTGTAGTAAATTGAGAAAAAGCTATGAAAAATAATAGTTAATTTTTTCATTATTATTTTGTTCCTTAATTATCATTGATTTATAAA